CATAACACTCTCCAGTTCCTTCTTTTTTTTTTTTTTATTTTAAAAAAATTTTTTTTTCAACGTTTATTTATTTTTGGGACAGAGAGAGACAGAGCATGAACGGGGGAGGGGCAGAGAGAGGGAGACACAGAATCGGAAACAGGCTCCAGGCTCTGAGCCATCAGCCCAGAGCCTGACGCGGGGCTCGAACTCACAGACCGCGAGATCGTGACCTGGCTGAAGTCGGACGCTTAACCGACTGCGCCACCCAGGCGCCCCTCCTTCTTTTTTAACATAACACTGATCAATATGTTGTAAACCTCTTCTTGTCGATGAATGTTAGCCCATAATATCACTAATAATATCTGCACCTCCAATCATACCTTCATTCTCCATTCTTTCTGAACTAGTTTTTAGAATTACTTACTCCATCATCTTCAAATCTGCATTTTCTACCATGGTAAATGTTAATATTATTGGATTTTTAGTTTGTGACCTTAATTTCCCAACTTCACAGTGTGTTTGTGTTTTCTATTTAGAAAAAAGCAACAGAAACTAGGAAAGTTAGCTAAGTCTAAGAAACCCAATTACTTAGGAAAATACTGTAGTCCTTGTTATAATATTTTTTAAAAATGAGCAATGGCATAAGGTTTTCCAAACAAGAAAGTATTCAATTATTATTGATACTGGCATTGTCAGGTTTACTATTTATAAGGGCACCATGGCTCTTCCTCCTCAAAACAAAAGACAGTGACTCTGGAACTAACAATATGGTCTGCATGGTTTGTAATAAACACTGAAATAATGGGTGTGAATAAATGGATAAATGATATTAGCTATTTGAAGTATTTATATAATTATTAAAATTATCAGGTTGCACTTCCATAACAAAACAAAAATTTGCATGCATGCTGAATGTGTTTTAAAAAACACATTACTAAGCACAGATGTATGGGTTTAAATCAGGCATTAAAACTTAGAAAAGCTATTTGCCTAACCTTTATAGAACTTACTCTGATAGGAAGTACGGATCCGTTTCGTTAAATCAGGATAAAAGTTAGACAGGCCACGCATGCAAAAGTTGTCTTTGGAACATGCCAGAACATCAGCATCAGCAGCAGGCAGGGGAAAGAGAGAAAAATAGTCTAAAGTGAAAGGAAGTGATTCATACCAGAATCTAGAACAGCCAAGATGAAGAAATTGCAGCAAGTTTAGGTAACCAAATTAGAAAGGAGATATTAAAAAAAATAAATCAATTAGAAAGTAAGAGGTGATAGATGAATGATGACAGTGCTATAGTAATTTTATTTAATCAAATATAAGAGTAGATGTCATATTTGTCATATGATTTTTATGTAGTAAACGTATTTCACATGTAAATAATACTTATGTTACCTCATAGAAATCAAAATGGTTGTCTTCAATCCTCAGTATTAAAAAGACAGCTTAGGGATTTTAGTCTTTGGTATTTTATTTTTATAATATAAAATGAGTATTCATTGTAGTCATTTTATACACTAAATATGAACAAAGTTTATGACTTCATCACAGTTTTTCCAGATTTTAAAGTCATCAAAATTCTAAGCTCTAATCATAATTGAGTCTCAATAAATTTAAATTAAGTAACAGTTATATTGTTTGTCACAATATACACCTTGTCATACCATTGTATAAACTGAGTAAGTAACTTAGATACTGGCATAGGATCCAGTTTTTCAAATTCAATTTGTGCTTTCAGTATGCAAGTATTGCCTCTTATACCCTAATATTTTCCTACCCTAGAGTCCATAAACTTTAAAAAATCAATCTTCTCTTTCCCAATCATGAGGTAATCTTATGGAACATGCATGCACAATCTCTTATTCTGCCTTCCTTTCAAAAGCCAGGAAATGTAGAGGCAGAACCTATACAATTTGAAATTTCCAGCATTCCTAAAATTATGCTAAAAGCTGAGATCACTAGCAGGAAACAAAGAGACTTCTATATTCTGAAGGAGAACTTTTGTGCTCCTGAAAAGGGTTTAAATTAGCAATGTGGAAAGGGTTAAGGTTCATGAAAAAAAAAAGAAAAAAGATTAACAAAGGGAAGAATTTCAGTATATCAAGTTAATTTTTCATTAGTCCAAAGGGAAACTTCTTTTATTATAACATTTGGATGTTAAATTTGGCACAATTGCTATTTAGTAAATAACACCTATCATAATGTTCTCCTTTTTTTTTTTTTAAACATTCTTTACATGAGTCTATTTAATAAACTAAACACATAATACTATAGATGTATTTCCATCTGCAAATCTTTGAGCTCAACTGATTTTTTTTTTTATCAACTAAACTATATCAGTGGACAGAAAATATGCAAAATTTTGTCAGTGTTTACAAAGCCAACTATTTGGATAAATACTGAAATTTCAGTAAACTTTGGATAATTTGGCATACCCAAATTTGGCATTATATAGAAAGTATTTCTGCTTATATATTAATTAACCTTATATATTTTTCCTTTATAGTTATACAAATTTATTGGTCCTGTCAAGCAAAATGTTATCTTTCATAGCATTTTAAAATGTTAATAATGTTTATTGCATTTGTGAAAATACCTCCAAGAAAATCACCCTCCAATAAAGAAAGGTGACAGCTAGAATATGGAGTTTAAACAATTAAAAGTAGTGAATATTTAAAATTATATTTTTGAATATTAGAAGAGATATTAGAAGAAAACTATCCTGTTAAAATACGACTATTGCAAATAATTTTTTCAACTACAGAGCCTGATTTTCACAGCAGTTTTATATTTAATAAATTCTTATTTTCTCATTTCTTAGGAATTCAACCTATGAAACTTGAGGTGTTCCCTAACTTTGGCAGCAAACTGAAATTTAAACACTTCCTTTATCCTTTCAAAGATTCTAACTATATTTCTACCCAATTTTATTTACATAGTATTATAAGTTATATTGACTTCATATTGCCATGCATTTGAATAGCATTACAGAAGAAAGATAAGAAATCTAAAGGTAAGAAAACAGATGAACTAATCAAGTTCATAACCATTTTGTTTTATCTCCTACCTGCAATGAACTGCTTGTTTTTTCGAGGAGACCGTGGTTGACGTTGGTATAGGTCACTTGATCTATATAGGTCAATGGTCCCCATGCTTAACAGTACTGTCTTCTGTATAAAATCCACCACAGCCAACCCATTGCAGTTCCCAAATGCAACTCTGAGAGAAAAAAAAAAAAAAATGCAGCTAGAATGTATCACAGTAATCATTATTATTGTAATCTCTGAATTAAACATAATTGGAAAGTAATGCCTTAGGGTTGGAGAGGTAAGGTCGCGATTGGTGTAACGTCAGGAAGGATACCATGCCTTTACACAGGATGGAGTGACCTTGTATAATAGCCATATTATACGGTCATATTTTATCATCAATTTTATTATTTAAGTAGTGATTACCCAATCTCTTTAACTTGGTCTTATCTTTTTATAGAATCATATAAAATCTTTTTGCTAGCAGTGGGGAAATAGATCAAGAAATGGCATACTCTAATAGCTATAGATGCTTAGGTATATAATTAGATGCCTTTTAAAAATAAAATTATAATTATTAACCTCCAAATTATTTCTCTTCTTTCTTAAAAAATTGTAAAAATATTTTTTTATTTTTGAGAGAGAGAGAGAGCATGAGCAGGTGAGGGGCAGAGCAAGAGGGGGAGAACAGATTCTGAAGCAGGCTCCAGGCTCTGAGCTGTCAGCCAGAGCCTGATGTTGGGCTCAAACTAACAAACTGCGAGATCATGACCGAGGTCGAAGTTGGATACTTGGCAGACTGAGCCATCCAGGCACTCCTAAATTATTTCTCTTCTTAAACAGTATATATTTAACACAAAATTTACATAAAAAATAACTTTCTATATCTAAGGTTTTGACACCATAGTAGATATAAACAGAGATACAATTTTCATTCACAAAAAATTAAAAATTTCTCTCTTGTTTTTTATTTTGTCCTACTTACTAACTTTTGTCCTATTAAAAGACAAACATCATTTGATTAATTTTTTTTATTTCTCCTGAGAAATTAAAACAGCTCTTAGCACTAAGCAGGCATTTTGGTCAGTCTTAATATTTATTAGGCTTACACAAATTCTCTTTTTCTGAATTTACAACATGCCTTCTAGCTAAACAATTGTAAATTTGTGCTGTTTGCTCCCTAAACTAAACAAACACTAGTTACATGACTATTGTTTTGCTCATTTCATGTAAGTTCTGTGTTGTTTTCTTACTTAGATTGAATCTGGTTGACAAACCATTGGTTTACTCTCAGTTTCTTTCCACTCCACCACATAGCCTTCCTTCCTTACAACAAATGAAAAGTTCTACCATATGAGATGTTTTGCTATTTCACATAGAGTTCTATACCTTCCAACAAGACAGACTTTGGAAACTAAAAAAAAAACAAAAACAAAAACTATTGTTATAAAAGTCAGCAGAGGGACACCTGGGTGGCTCAGTCAGTTAAGCACCGACTTTGGCGCAGGTCGTGATCTCACGGTTTGTGAGTTTGAGCCCCGTGTTGGGTTCTGTGCTGACAGCTCAGAGCCTGAAACCTGCTTCAGATTCTGTGTCTCCCTCTCTCTCTGCCTCCCTCCCACTCATCTCTGTCTGTCTCTCAAAAATAAACATAAAAAAATTTTTTTTTAAAAGTCAGCAGATTCTATCTCTATCATTTACAGGTTATGTGACCTTGAAAACAATTAATGAACTTTGTCAGGCCTTAGTTTCTTTACTTTATAATGAGAATTATAATACTAGATTTATCTATTTTTCAGGGCTTTAAGGAGCATCAAAATCAGAAAATTGTTATTAAAATACTTTGAAAAATTTCCATACATAAGTAGAACTGATTCTAATATTATAATAAGTAAATGCAATATTATACATATTATATACTATATAGCAAGTTCATATCTCGAAACTTATACAGGTATGATAGAGTTCCCAAATTCAATACTGACAAGAAAAAAAATAGGAAAGAAGAATGTATTACATCAACCAGAATGATTATTTTTCTCTTTGAATTAAAAATAAGAATACTAGAAAGTTATACCTTAGTGTTGGGGAGGTCAGGCAATGGTTGTTGAAAAGTCAGTTAGAATACTGGGTTTAATTTCCTAACTTAAATAAAAAACTGTACAAAATAGATTAAGACACAGTTTGCACAGATTGACCAACCAGGCAACATAGGATGAGAGAAGGATAACAATCAAAGTAAACTTTACCTAGGTATTCTTCTTGTGTTTTGTTTTTTATTTACAGTTTTATTGAGATCTATTTCACATATTATAAAATTCACTGATTTAAATAAAGTGTACAGTTCTGTGGTTTCAAATATATTTGTTCTTACTAGTAAAATGTATTTAGAATTGTGGAATCATCACCACATTTTAGAACATTTCAGTACCGGAATCTGGGTATTCTAATTTAAACTAATGTTCTAATTTAGTGAATGGAGGAGAGACTTTCCAGACTAGACTAGCACAGGAAACTAACACAGAGAGATCAGTGGTCGCACTGAATTGAGGAGAAATAGATCAGACTCTGATGCTATAAAAACAGCCAGAATTTATGAGGTAAAATACTAGAGAGAAAAGAGCTACACAAGGAGAATATATCAGACTCATAGAATGGTTCTCTGGAGCATCCATGTGAAAAAATTCCCCCAGACTTGGGAAAGAACCACTAAAGAGATAAAGCTGAACAATTCACAAAGTTACCAAAAGGCTGAGAATATTTCATGTTACTACCAGACAAACTGCTGAGATCTCCTAATAGACAAAAAAAAGCAGATATAGTAGTATCACTTTAGGAGTGGGGAACACATTTAGCCATAAACTAAAAGTTCTTCTGAACTCCACCTTAAAAAAAAGCTTAGAGACATTATTCTAAGTAACATAACTGCCTTCCAGAAAAATAACTAACACTATTAAAAAGAATCAAACAAAATACCACCATAATGTAAAATTCACAATGTCCACTATATAAAAAGTAGCAGGCATATAAGGAATTCAGAAAACATGACTGATAAGCAAAGGAAAAATAAATCAAAAGAAACATACCTAGAAATGAAACAAATGATAAAAGTAGCAAACAAGGATATTAAAAATGCTTAAAAATATATATTCCAGATATTTAAGAAGGTGGAGAAAAACATACTCTAAAGTTACAGGAATCAAGACAGGCTGGTATTGAAGTAAAGATAAAAATAAATTTTAATGAAACGAGTGGCCATAAACAAACATAAATGGTCAACTGATATTTGACAAAAGCATTATAGGAATTCAGAGGAAAGATAGTCTTCAATAAACGATGTGAAACAATTAGATATCCATAAGTAAAAAATTGAGCCTTAAATTTTTACCTTCCACAGTACAGAAAAATTAATAAGACACTTGATTTCAAAAAATAGGCAAAAGATTTGAACAGATATTTCACCAAACAAAATGTACAAATGTGAAATGGGCACTTAAAAGATGCTGAGCATCATTAGTCACCAGGAATATGTAAATTAAAACCACTGATCCCATCAGAGTAGATAGAATTAAAAGATTGGTAACATCAAGTGTTGACAATTATGTGGAAAAACTGAAATTCGAATACATTGTTGTTGGAAATACAAAGAATACAACTTCTTTAAAAAATAGTTTGCCTTATAAATATATATAGTTAACTCTTCACCAACACAGGGGTTAAAGGTGCCTACCCCCCACACAATCAAAATCCATGTATAAGTTTTAACTCCTTCATATCCCCCAAACTTAACTATTAATAACCTACAGTTGACTGGAAGCCTTACTGGTAAGATAAACAGTCAATGAACACATATATTATATATGTATTATATATTAGATTTTTACAATAAAATAAGCTAAAGGAAAAATGTTACTAAGAAAATCATAAGAAAGGGAAATATATTTACATTATTGTATTGAAAAAAAATCATGTATGAGTGGACCCATGCAATTCAAACTTGTATTGTTCAAGGGTCAACTAAATTCACCATATGACCCAGTAATTCTATTCTTTCTTACCCAAGAAAATGTAAACAATTATTACACAAAGACTTGTACTTGAACATTAATAGCAAATTTATTCATAAAAGCCTCAAACTGGAAACAACTGAAGTTTCCATCATATAAACACATTTTTTGTATATCCACATAATGGATAATGCAGCAATGAAAAGGAACAAGCCCCAGATACATATACAATATGGATGAAACACAAAAGCATTATGCTAAGTGAATGAAAACAAACACAAAATTATTTATGATTTATGACTCTATATAAAATTACAGTAAATGCAGTCAAATTGAGGGGCTAGAGGAAGAGGTAAAAATTGAATGCAAGGGAGCATGAAGGACCCTTTTGAGGTGATCGATACTTTTTATATCATTAGTTTGTTGGTGGTTACATGACTTATATTTGTCTTGCATGTTTGTCAAAATTAATATGTCATGCTTAAAATGGGTGATTTTTATTTTATATACATACCTCAATAAAGTATTTGTAATACTAATAAATATTTAGTTAATTAAATTGCCACAAAAAAGACAGAGAATTACACAGAGTTATGGACTCTGGTCCCTAAGAATGTTCTGGAGAGTAAGAGAATGATACGGCAAAGATTTTTTTTAAAAATTGGATATTTTAGTTAACCTACCTGAAAGATAAAATGATTTCATTGTGGGAAGAAAAGGTGAGATTTTTTTTTTCTTCCAATATCTTGTTGGTAAGGAAATTCAAAAGAAAATATCAATCAACAAGAACATATTTTCAAGATTTAGAATTTATAATAAAAATAATTTTTATTAATCTCATCTTTGTTTCTTTAAATACTCAACATCTATCTTAAACTGCTTTATATAAAAATTAGCTATTCTCAATTGCCTAAGAGTTAATTAACTTTTCTGTTTTATAAGTACCAAATATATTTATATATAGAATTTAAAAGTCCACATTAAAAAGTCCCTAAATATCCTACAGGCATCCTATTCTATTTGGCATTTATAAACAATGTTAATGTATGGACACATATAAATATAAAAAAAAAGTAAAAGTCAAATATTTTAAAAACACATTTCTATTTCATATCTTTGAATATGGTGATGCTTTAATAAATTGCTTCTTTCTAAAAGCAACTCAGAAAAATAGGTTTAAATA